AATCTTATTCATTACAAAAGGTCAGCACAACTTCACAACATGTTCTACGTGCCCATTGTGCCCATATTACAATAATGCCCATCGTCACCAAAATTAGAAAAAAAGGCCTTTATATACTTCTCTTCTCCTCTAAATTGCACTTTTCTATTTGCAATTTACTCCATTTTTTTTTCTTTTTTTTTTTTCTCTTTGTTTTGGTTTCCTTAGAAGCATTAAAAATGAACAAAATGCTGCTTATAATCCCAATCCTTATTGCAGCCATGCTGCAGATTCCTTTAGGAAAATCAGAAATTAGCAACTATTCGCATGTTGTGCCTGCGATTTACGTGCTTGGCGACTCGTTGTTCGACAGTGGGAACAATAATCTCTTGCCGACTCTAGCAAAGGCCGATTATTGGCCTTACGGCATGAACTTCAACGGAGGCCGGCCAACGGGAAGATTTACCAACGGAAGAACGGTCGTCGATTTCATAGGTTTCATTAGTTTGATGCTTTTTCTAGTTCACAATGTTCTTGATTATCCCTTTCTTTTCTTCAGTAGGTCTTATGTTAGGATGCCTAGCTAATAGTTAGACAGTCATACTTGTATTATACAGTAAATTTACGTAATTTCATGTTCAGATCATGTCATACATTCTAGTTCACAATGTCCTTGATCCTTTTCGTTCTTCGGTAAGTCTTTTGTTAGGCTGTCTAATGGATACACCGTCAAATGTCATGCTTTATAAGTTCACAATGTTCTTGATCTCTTTCTTTCTTCGGTAGGTTTTCTGTTAGACTGTCTAATGGTTAGACCGTCATACTTCTATACAGTAAATTTACATAATTTCACGTTTAGATGCCATACTTTTAGACTACAACAAAAACAAATGTATGACATTCCATAGTTCAAGACTCAAGTATGCAATTTTTATGAGAAGTATGATTGTTTAACGGTTAGACGTGGTTAGACAGCCTAACAACAATATTTCTGTTTTTTTTTTTTTCCTCATTTCCTCTCTGCTTTTGGGATCATTATTCAAAAGAAATGATGGGTTTTATACTTTTATAGTTTTAATATTATTATGTGTTAGTTACTTTTTTTATATATATATATTTTGGCAGCTGAGGTTCTTGGGTTGCCATATTCTCCACCTTATTTGAGCATAAGGAGGGTGTTAAGTCCAGGCCAGCTGACACTAAATGGCCTGAATTTCGCATCGGGATCATGTGGCATTCTTCCCGAGACTGGAAGCGATTTGGTACGTCATTTTTCTGCGACTGATCAACCCGTCGATCGTCTCGTATAAGAATTTGTGAGACCTTGTGCATAAAACTGATTTTTTATGGTCTGAAAAACTATATGTCCAGGGAAAATGCCTGAATTTTGGTGAACAAGTTGGGTTGTTAGAGAGGATAGTGAAAGAGGAATTGCCGAAGCATTTTACGAACTCTACCGAGCTCTCAAACTATCTTGCGAAGTCGATATTTGTGGTCTCGATAGGCAGCAATGACTACATCAACAATTACCTCGACACGCGAGAATACGACACGAGCAAACGATACACTCCCCAAGCCTACGCTCAGCTTCTAGTCGACAAACTTTTCCTACACTTTCAGGTATATATATTTATTTTGATACTCGATTTGTCTTTACTTTTCGATATGAAATAACATTTTTTTTTTGGTATTGTGGGTAGAAATTGTACCGTTTGGGAGCTCGAAAGGTGATAATGTTTGAAATCGGGCCGATCGGGTGCATTCCCTCCACGACGAGGCGGGTGAAGCACAACGGGACGTGTGTCGAAGAGGTTAACGAGCTCGCGATAATGTTTAATGACGATCTTGCCCCTATGCTCCGGAACCTGACGTCGACTCTCCAAGGCTCGACTTTCGTTCTCGGTCATGCTCACTGGCTCGGCTACGATGCCGTCATCAATCCATCTAATTATGGTAACATATAATCCCTCCCTTCCATTTCAAAGTTCAAATCAGCATGTCTACTTTTCATGTGATTTGACTATTTTTTTTGCAAAAATGCATTTTTAGTCTCGTTCGTTCAACGTAATTTTAGTCCTAATATTCCAACTTTTGTCTTTCAAGTGATTGAAATTGCAAAAAAAAAAATTAAATTATATGACTGAAATTGCAATAAAATTTTAAATTATAAGATTGTAATTGCCAATAAAACATCTATAAATTTGGGAATCTGTTGCAATTTCAATCCTCAGAGGACTGAAATTGCAGCAAAATATTAATCACATAAACAAAATACGAAATGTTAGAATCTCTGGACTAAAATTGTTAAAGCTAAACCAACCGGACTAAAAATGCAGTTTAACCACCATTTTATACTTGCATATTTTATGAACCATTTGATAGCTGAAATGAATTGTTGTTGAGATGTGCTGATCATATTAGAATTTTTTTTTTTTTTT